GCACACAGCTCTAACACTGGACAAGGGAATTTTTGATTGGCATCTTAGTTGGAAATATCCTCCTGGATAGAAAGAAGCAGATTCAAGATGTTGCAATTGGATGGGCAGGTCGGCCTCTTGAATTTGTCGATGAGGAGGACACGCAATTCTCTGCAGAAGTAGGAACACCCATCCCTGCTCTGTTGACTTCATCTACAGAGAAACAGAGAAGTGGCTCTAGGGGGAATTCAACACCCACCAACACTTCTTACCGACATCAAAGTCCCCATTTTATTCTCCTCTCAGGTCTCTGCACAAAAACTGTGGCTCAGCCCCATATATCACATACCCATCACCCTGAACCACTCTGTGTCTGTGTCCAACTCGAGCATTAAGGCCTGTGTCCATTACTGTCAAATCGTGTCCCCCTTTCAGCCCGTCTCCCGCCATCATCCCAGCCCAACCTCGGTGTCTCTCTCCAGGTCAGCAGCACTCTTCCCACTGGCTTCCCATCAGCTTACCTTGCCCTGCTTCCATTGCTTATTCCCCATATGTTACCGACAGCGGTCTTATTAAAGTATGAATCGGATCAAGTTGTTCTGCTTTGCAAAATACTCTCGTGATTTTCCATTGTGTTCAGAGGGATATCCAGAGTCCCTACCATGGCCCTGTGTGATCCGGACCCTCGCCCGTCTCTGCAGCCTCAGGTCTCACCGTTCTGCTCCAGCCCATCTTCACTGCCCAGATGGTCCCCACCAGGACAGCTGTGTTTGTAACTCCAAGTCTCGTACTTACACTTCTCCCGGCCTGGGAGGCTTTTCTTGTCTGTTACCTACGTGGCTTATTCTTTGCTTCATTCAGGATCTTGTTCAAATTATTTTACCCTCAGAGAGGACTTATCTGAAAACATTATTTAAAATAGCACGCACATATGTCCTATTCAATCATTTTCTCTCCTAATATGTTTTATGTTTCTTTGTGGCAATTATTAGTACTTGGCAGTACATAACATATTTATTTGCTTACTGGTTTATTGTCTATCTTTCTTACTAGACCTATATTCACGGAATCACAAATAAATGTTTTAAACAGTAACTTTCAAACCACCTTTAAATGAATTCTTTTATAAGGTGAGAATTTCAGAGATTTCCAAGGGTTGCTTAGGGGAAAAAAGAGGAAGGATTCAGGTTGAACTAGGTTATTAAGGACCTGGGAGTTGGTTATGTATTTTATTCATAGTAGTGTGTACCTGTTAATCCCAAACTCCTAAGCTAGCAAGACTGAGCTGATTACTATGTATAAAATGCTTTTTCTCCTTTTAAATTTGGATTGTTTGAGATCTCTTTTCTTCTTTGTGTTTTTTTCTTTTTTAAAAAAGACTTTTTCTTAATTTTATTTACATTGAGGTACTGGGAATTGAACCCAGCTCGTACTCTACCACTTGAACTATACCCTCCCCTCCAAAGACAATTATTTTTATACTTGGACAATACCATACTGAATTAAGAATTTTTTACTCCATTTTCCCTTCAGAGAGTTTATAATGGAGGGAGAGAGAGTCAGAGGAAGCCCTGGGCCATTCCTTCATTCTCAGCGGGTCACTACACAACAGAGGAGCTAGGCTGTGGCCAGGCCCAGCTCACCTTGCTGCGCTGAGGGCCGACTCAGGCCACTTCTCTAAACAGAGGTGTGTTAGAAGAAGCAGAAAGCCAACTAGTGAGCAACAATGACAAAACTGACCCACCTGCATTTGGACATCATCTGCTCTGAAACGAACGTCTTAAAGCTCTTCTTCCTATTAGTGGATTGTTTTCAAAAATATTCCCAAGGAGATGACTCTCACTCTATTTTTCTGGATTTCTTGGGCCTTCTATGACTTTAACTGCAGGCTTGATTTTCTGCACAACGTCTGCATTGAAGCCAGGCAGAACACGTGAACAGACCCTGCAGGCCACGGCTGAGGCCTC